TTTTCAAAAATATATATTTAGAAGTAATTTATTTAAAAAGTTTAATTTAATTAATTGAATAAAGTATTTTAAATATTAAAATTAATTTAATAAAAATGTTAAAATGCATATATATTTAAATAACGTAAAAATATTTGTAAATAATTAATTCATTGAAATTAATTAAAATTAATTCATTAAAAATGTATTTATAAAAAAAATGTTAAAATAAAAAAATATAAAAAAGTCTTTAAAATTAATTTATTTAAAAAAAAAAAAAATGAAAATTTGTATACAAACATAAATGTATTCATTAAAAACTGAATAATTGATTTAACACACACACAGTTGACCTACATGATGAACGGGGTCGTCGCTGCCCTCCTGCTCAGATGAGTAACTCTCCTCCTCTTCCTCGGAGTAGTTATCAATGTCTGGAGAACGATCTGAGCCCAAGAAAACCACAGAGAAAGCATGAGGAACACTATACATTCATTTCATTCACTTTACTTACACTGAACTTGCAGATCACAGTCACATGACTCTGGAATACCTCATTCTGATTGGTCAGTTGCTTTTAACCGCTACACCAAACCAGTAAAGTCGCTGGTGTCTCACCGTTCATCTTGGCTTTGGGTCCCTCGCGGTCAATGGGCTGACTGGACAGAGAATAAACCCGGATCTCAGCCACCGGGACGGACACGTCCTTCAGCTGACTGTGCAGACCCAGGACCTGAGCGCCTTCGGTGGGGTGCTGCATCACCTGACAACACCAGCAATCATCAGTTAACACAGGAACGACTGACACGCGGCAAGTCAGAGCTGTCTGCGCCTCACCTCAGCCATGTTGATGAGGCCGAGCGCCAGCGTCTTGTAGCCCAGGATGGTCCTGTTCTTGTACCTCTTCCTCCTCTGCAGCATGATCTGCAGCTTGTTGGCGTCTCGTTTCAGGAAGTGCGGATACTGAGAGGACACAGAGACGACTGTGAGTGTTAGTTTGAGGCCATACGCACGTGAAGAGACTGTGCTGACACTCACCTGTAAGGAGAACGTGAGCTGCAGGTCTGTCTCCGTTTGGCCGCTCGATGGCAGGAGGATCTCATTGGAACGGAGGATTCGCTTTGAGCCCTGAAAGAGAAACCGAGAGGACAGACAGATGGTGAATAAACATTATTAGATGCGGGAAGCGCTTCGTCTTCCAGATCTGCGTAAGACAGCAGAAAACACAATTAGGGGACTGTAAGATTTCTTTATGTTTTTGAAAGCAGTCTCTTGTGCTCATCAAGGCTGATCTAAAATACTGTAAAATCAGTAATATTGTGAAATATTATTACAATTTCAAATAAATGTTTTCTATGTGAATATCTGTTCAAATGTAATTTATTCCTGTGATCAAAGCTGTATTTTCAGCATCATTACTCCAGTCTTCAGTGTCACATGATCCTGATGCTGATTTGCTGCTTCAGAAACATTTCTGATTATTATTATTATTATTCAAAACAAATAAAAATTAAAAACAAAAAAATGAAATAGAATTCTTCTGTAACATTATAAATGTTTGTACTGTCTCTTTTGATCAATTTAATGCATATTTGCGTTTTGTAAAAATACTGATTTCTTTCCAAATAGTCAAATAAATTACAAATAAAGCATAAAAAAATGAATTATTTAAAAAAAATGTTTTGAAACAGAAATCTTTTGTAACATTATAAATGCCTTTACTGCCAGTTTTGATCAGTTAAATGTGTCTTTGAATAAAAAGAAAAAATATTTAAAATAAAATATTAAACTAAATAAAAATAGTAATTCTTCAAAATAAATAAATAATAAAATTACAAATAAAACAATTTAAATAATTATTTAAAACAATTATTTTGTAACATTATAAATGTATTTACTGCCAGTTTTTATCAGTTTAATGTGTCTTTGAATAAAAAAAAGAAAAAATATTTAAAATAAAAAATAATATTTAAAAAATAAAAAATTAAACTAAATACAAATAGTAATTCTTCAAAATAAATCAATAATAAAATTAAAAATAAAATATAATTAAAGAATTATTTAAAACAGAAATATTTTGTAACATTATAAATGCATTTAAATAAATAAATTACAAGTACAAAAAAATAATCAAAAATATTTTGAAATACAACCTTCTGTAACATTATAATTATCTTTAAAGTCAGTAAGATGTTTTAATACATCTTACAAATTAAAAATCAATTAAAAAATAAATCGGATCTCAGCCACCGGGACGGACACGTACTTCAGCTGAATGTGCAGACCCAGGACCTGAGCGCCTTATTAATATTTTAATAATATTTAAAAAAAAAACTACGTACACACTAACACTTATTTGTAATTTTGATAGAAACAGAATGTGCAGTGGGTGATATTGTGGGGCGGGACTTGAGGTTATCCATCAGGATTCGATTGGATCATAAAAAGTGGGCTGTGATGTTATTGGTTGATATTATTTTGCTGTCGTTTCAGATGACGTGCACAATATGCCCAGAATGTGCATTTAAGTTAATGCAAATTAAGTTTATTTATGTTTCATGTTGAGCGAGAAGAACGAGTGAAAGAATGCCTCACCTGCAGTTTGACAGCGATGACCACAGACGTCAGATCTTTATCCAGCTCCTTCAGCATCACCAGCTTCTTCAGAGTCAGATTGAAGAGCCTGCCAACACAATTCAATCCAATTCAGTACACCATGACACAATATCATAACAGCTTTCAATCGATTCTAATGGGACTGATGCAGTTTAGTGGTGTGGTGAAGCGCGGCTTTATCGAGACAGAATAACAGCACATGAATAAACAGGTGTGTGTGTCGTTTCTGAGGGTCAGGGAAGGTTAGCGAGCGCATTATTTACAGTCGCACTCTCACCGGCTCCTGAAATACAGGCTCTTCTGACAAGAGCTTCTGCCATACGGATCAATAACAATCTGAAGCAGCTATTGACCAGACGACAGTCTCTCACACACATACACATACACACACACACACACACACACACACACATACACACACACACACATAAAGTCAGAACTGTCACGAGCCACAGGGTTTAATTTGGTTTTGTTTGTGTATGTTTTATGACTCTCAAAGCCGTGATTCCCATCCACTTACATTATATGACTGACAGACTGCAACGGTTTGAGTTAAAAATCTCCGTTTGTGTTCTACTGAAGAAACAAAGTCACCTACATCTTGGATGCCCTGGGGGTAAGCAGATAAACATCAAATTTTCATTTTTGGGTGAACTATCCCTTTAAATACAATGTCCATATATTATATTAATTTAATTACACTAAATGTTATGTGGCTACTATTCCATATATAGTATTTTAAATTTAGATTCAAGTATTTAAACAAATATCAACTTATTTAACATCTATTACAACACGCTACAATGCGGGTAAATCACTCGCAGTGGGTTTGATTATTGCTTCAGTTCACTCGACTGTAAAGCTGCGCTTGCAACACAACAAACGAACGAACGAACGAACAACTCCTGCACTGCTGCAGCATCAGGTCACGCTACACCGGAAACACTAATGCTTTCAAACAGCGACTGAAAATATTGCTAGTTAGTTATTCACTCCTCAACACTGACGGCTGCACAACAAAAGAGGCCGAAACCCATCGTCACTCGCTCTTGTGCTTGTGCAACGGAAGCGAAATATTGTGACATTAGTGCTTAATTCATTGTGAAACGTACACGGCAACAAAAGCAAGAAAGCACGTAGTGATGGGTCGTTCCTGAACGATTCGTTCATTTTGAACGAATCTTTAATGTGACTCGGGAAGAACGAGTCGTCTTGGGGAGTGATTCGTTCAGTCGCGCATGCGCAACATCTAGGGCTGCACGATAAATCGCATGCAATATTGCATGCGATTTATCGTGCAGCCCTAGCAACATCCTATAGGTTCTGTACTGGAATTAGTCAAGTAGATCACCTGTTTCGAGTCTTCGGGTTTGAGTCGTTCGTTCATCCCGTGACAGCCCCATAAGCTTAACCAATGCAGTTTGAGCCGGAAAGAGACTTAATAATAATAACCAACTCTTTATTACCTTTGTTACAACATTCAGTGTTATGGAAAATAACCATCATGACAGAAATTCACACATTTAGAAACTGTAAGAAGTAAAAAGCTACAATTTGAGACCAGAAACGCATCACGTAACTGTAAGAGTAAATAATAATTATAATAATGATGATAATAATAATAATAATAATAACTATGCACCCGTTTGTAAGGAAGCTTGTAAATTAACTAATTTCTCTATCCAATGCTGTCACGTCACGTGACAAAAGAACGAATGATTCGAAAGACTCGAGAGATGAACTAATCAATTCTCTTTCCGGCTTAGACTGCATTGGTTAAGCTTAGGGGGCTGTCACGTGATGAACGAATGACTCAAACCCGAAGACTTGTCAGATAAGAGGTGAGGTGAGCTAATCATAGACTGAAGACCCAGCTAAACAATGAATTAATCTTTTCTGTTTCTTATAGCAGTTTTGAATTGTTTGTAGTGTGATCAACGTTTGCGTAAGTAGTAGACGTATTAGGGAAGTAACACGTAACATTGTAATTATATTTTGCTAAAATGAACGAAATGACTCGAAAAAAGATTTGTTCATTTCGCTGAATGAGACTCAAAGGTCCGAGTCGGTAAAATGATCCGAACTTCTAGAAGGCAGCGCGATAACCGTCAGCAGGAGAAAGCCTCCGCGTTCCAGGAACGCTGGCGTCACGAGTTCAGGAGGAACTGGAAACCCAAGCTCAATTAGTCATCAGGATTTCAGGGCAAACACTGCAGCTAAACGCTTGTTATACACGCCAACGGGGCTTTTAGTGCGAGAAACACGACCACAGCAAACTGAATTAATATTAAAGAGTGACATCAGTTTCAGACAACAAGCGTCGAGATGAACTCCTTGCATATTCATACGCGAGCTCTACTTTAAACATGCTAAATAAAGACGCTCGACGTCTGAAACATCCAGCAGATGGACGTGTGTTTCTGCACAGCATGGACAAACTCTCAGAAACCCAGACCGAACCACACTGAACACTCGAGCCGCTTTCTTTGATTAATAATGAATGATCCTAACCGCTCCAGTGTGTGTGTGTGTTTGCATTTACAGGACGTCACACCTTCAACACGGGTTTATCTTCCATAAATCGGGTTATTACAGTCATAAAGCTAGAGATAAAAGCTGCAGGGGTTCATAAAGTCTCAATGGACGGCTCCTGAAGTTTAGGAAGATCAGATGAACTGCAAACACTGCTGAGCTTGTCTGGTTTGCAGTTTTTGGTTGTGAATGCATTTCTACTGTTGTCAAATGAAGAGAAACACAATAATTACATCAAAACCTTAAACTAACACTCCTAAAACAGAGATTTTCATTTTTTAAACAATATGTGGACCAGTTTGCTAGTGTACACCAACCTCAAGCATATTCTACCAAATTTCTGAAACACAGGCGCAGATATATTATTTAATTTAAAATAATACAGTGCTTATAACACACATATAAGCACTATGTTATTTTAGACATGCCACCACTGTTCAAACATTTAGGGCCAGGATGTTCAGCACAGGGTTTGGAAGAAAACATGTCAAGCTTGTATTTTTGTTTGCATGCAAAAATTCTTCAAAAATAAAAATTGAATAATACAAATATGCAAAAATAAGTAAAAAAATAAACAAGTAAAACATTAGTCAAGCAGTAAATAAGTCAAAATAAATAAAGCAAAAAGTCATTGAGTAAATAATTAAATCAAAAGAAATATATAAAAATAAGAAATATATAATTATTTATAATCAATTTCTGTAAAGCTGCTTTGAAATTGTATGCATTGTGAAAAGTGCTTTACAAATAAATGTGAATTGAATTAAATCGAAAAGTCAAATAACTCAAATATGTCAAATAAATAAATAGACTTAATGTAAACTACCATTCAAAGGTTTGGGGTTGGTAAGTCTCTTCTGCTCACAAAGGTGACATCTTTTTGCTCAAAAATACAGCAAAAACTGAAATATTGAGAAATATTATTATATTTTAAATGAACTGTTTTCTATTTGAATATATTTTAAAATAAAATAAAAAAAAAAATTCTGAAAACTGTTTTTGAAGAAACCGTGACTTTTTTCAGGATTCTTTGATGAATAGAAAGTTCAAAAGAACAGCATTTATTTGAAATAGAAATCTTTAGTAACATTATAAAGGTCTTTACTCTCACTTTTGATCAGTTTAATGCATCCCTGCTGAATAAAAGTAGTCATTTCTTCTTACTGACCCCAAACATTTGAACAATCGTGTTTGAATGTTGGTTTCTCCTGCAGTCGTGCTCCTGAGGGCCGAGCGTCTGCTGCCACACACAGAGGTCAGAGGTCAGAGTCCAGCGCTGTGATCTACAGCCGTTTGTCAAACCCCCTTCAGCTACAGACAACACATGCCATCCATCACTGCAGCTGTGTGAGCGTGTGTGTGTGTGTACGGCTTGATTAGTCTGAAAAGCATCTGACGGTGCGGAGACGAGATCTGATCACTCGGAGGCTCTTCAGAGCGCTGAGTAAAGCGCTGCGCAGGTCTGTGAGACGCTTTCGCTCGCTGTCAGAAAACACTGAAGGAACAGCACAGCAGACGACAGCAGAAACTCACCGCAGGGTTCGGAGAAAGAAATGCAAAGCTTGTATTTTTGTTTATGCACACACAAGAAATCTTCAAAAATGACACTAAAAAGAGCTCACAGCTGTCGAAACGGCCTGCACGACGACATTCAGGTGTGACTTAAAAATGAAAATGAAAAAATTAAAATATGTAAAAATACGTTTGAAATAAATAAATAAATAAGTTAGTCAATGAGCAAATAAATAACTCAAAACAAATGTTAAATAAATTAAGCAATTTAAGAAATGTCAAAATATATAAATAAGTCTAGAACTAAATAAAGTAAAAAAATAAAATAGTAAATAAATAAGAGCATGCATTTCTGATGTGATATAAAAATACAAATGTAATAAAAATATGTTAAAAATAAATAAACAAGTAAAAATTTAAGTCATCAAGTAAATAAATAAGTTAAAATAAAAAAAAAAGAAGTCAAAGTGTCAACAAGTAAATAAATGAATAAGTCAAATAAATAAGTCAATAACTAAATAAATTAAATAACTCCCAAAAAGAAATAAGTGAATAAACAGTCCAATAAACAAAGAAATACAAAAATAAATAATAATAAATCTATCTGTCTATCCATCTCTATATATTACATGTGTCTGGAAACAGTATTGCTGATTCTTATAAATCTGTACAAATGTTTACATTTATATACCTTTTAAACGGTGTGAAACCCTATGCCAAAATCCTTTAAGGCATCTGCCAAAAACATATTCCTGAAGAAATATCATAAATCACATGCTAATATCATCATAGAACATCATGCCAACGGTCAGTAAATGAGGCTTAATGAAGCTTTTTAACATATTCTGCTCACACACTCCTGTACGCACATCTGACCTTGTCAAGGAGGACACGTTTATAAGTGTATGCACACACACACACACACTCACACTCACACTCACACACACACACAGCACAAACACTGCTGCTGGAAGGTGATTGGCTCTTTGTTGTCACACATCTGTCTGTGTTTTCAGTGCCAGC